CTACTTTAGCTCTGACGAAGCGCTCCCTTGTTGGTACAGGGGGCCGCCCAGCCGCTGCGGAACGCTTTCCCGCCCTCTTGGGTGCCGTGTTGCAAAACGGCCGGGGTATGAGCAGCACACGTGTCGTTTTTGCCCGCACTGGGCAGCAAGCCAGAGCCTGTGCCGCTTGGCAGTGATTTTGTTGCGTTTCTGGGGGGCGAAAGAGTGAGACTCTCTGCGCGCATTTTGCCGTGCGTGGCCCTCGCCCGGGGCAGGGCCCGGCATCGAGGCGTGACATTGGGGCGCCTCTCCTGTGTCTTGCCCCACACTCCGCCACGTGCAACACAAAGCGTTCACGCCTACAGCAGGAATTCCGATAGGTGGTCTGCTGGAAGATACCTTGTTAGAGGCGAAGCTGCAGCTCGTCACTGAAAGAGTGGTGGTGATCCACGGTCTAGTGCCCTCACTGCCTGGCACCGAGCAGGGCAGCTCGGCGGTCTCGTCTTGGCGCTGTTCCCTGCGCCTCCCCGCAACCCGCGCCGCGTGTCCTTTTCCACGCCTCACTGAGGGACGGTGGCGCAGCGGACCCCAACGAGCTCAAACTTCCAAACTTGCGCCCACTGGGTCTTTCAACCGTATTTTGCAGGAAGCGACCGACTCCACGCCCGGTTGAGCCCACGCCGCCGTACGATGTGAACAAGCCCTGACCCATGAAGCAGGTCCCTGGCAAGGGGGACTAGACACCCTTCGAAGAGGACTGGACGCGGCTGCTCAAATCTATTTCCGTGCATCAAATGGAACAACATCACCCTGCAAAGAACTTGCAGGGCCTTCGTTTTGCCAATCGCGAACAATTCCCACGCTCGCTGGAGTGGACTGCATCGTGAACAAAAACGAAGAGGAGACCTCTTTATTTACTGCTCGGGGCGTCGTCAGCACGTGTGACTTCTCATGTGCGTGCGCGTGTGTGTCCATTTCGTCGATGCACATACCTCCACTGCGACCGGAAACGAAGGAGATGGAAAGAAAAACAAAAGGGGGAGATGGGACGCCAGGAGCCGCGTCGATCGGCTTATTCGAGGAGGGCCTCCAGCAGCTTCTGCCGTCGCTGCTGCTGTGTGTGAGTTTCTGGGTGCTTTTGGTTGGAGGTGCAGTTTTCTTCCCTTCCCGTTCCGCCATGTGAGTTAGGATGTGTGTGCGGCGCAGGCTCCATGACGGCGGAGCTGGCCCACATCGTCAGGAAGAAGGAGGGCATCCTCGCTCTGGAACCCCACCTCCACCACCGCACCGTGATTGCGGTGGCGGAGAGGGAAGTGCACGGCATCCTCAACGGATTCGACAACAACATCTCAACCTCGTCGTGGCAAATGCGGAGCTGTGGGACAGAGATGCCCTCGTACGGCGCCTTGGGGTGTGCGTCGTTCGTGGCGGCTCGGTCGTCAGCGTCTCCTCCGGCGACACCACCATCCTGCAGCACAATCCCTTTGAATAGCCCACCTACCCCCAGCCGCGGAGTGCGCATGGACCGCGGCCATAATGGCAACGAATGGCATTATCACAGTGCACGCACACGCCGAGTGTAAGAGGGTGTGTGGGGAGCGGGAGGAAGAAGGAGAATGAAAGGAACGGGGAAGAAGACTTGTGTTGTGCCTCTCACTGGGTGCGGTCTCTGCCCACCACCACCCCTTTGCGGACATATATATCTGCATGTGTGCACCGCTTCCTGGTTCGTGTTGGGGCGTTTTTGCGACCGTCGTTGGCCATGCCGCGTCTTGTGACGGACGCGTTCCACCACACAGAGTCTTCGACCTCTTGCTGGAGCTTACACGCAGCTATTATTTATTTATTTATTGTTCGGAAGGCCCGGCAGACAAGAGTGACAGCAATGCGCCCGTCCCTACTTGCTACGGTGCCCCTGTTGTTATTGCTGCTGCTGTGCTGCACCACGGGCCGCCTCACCGCCGCCAGGCACCGATGCATGTTCAATGAGATAATGGCGAGGAGCGACTCACGCCCAGCCAAGATGGTGCTGGAGTTACCCCCGAAAGGGCCAGAGTACCTGGCGAGCGTACACCGTCTCCACAGGAGCGGAGGGGACGGGGAAGTGGGAACCCATCCGCATCGTGGTGTTCAAGCTGGACCTGGATGACCCA